ATCCTAAATGACACCAACAACAAACACAAAAGTGGTGCATTACAAGGTAATGGCTTGATGTTACATACTGTACACCTTATGACTAATGAATTGATGATGGAATGACCGAATTATTTAAGAAAAAACTCAGTATACAGTATATATATATATAAATAAAATATATCCATTAAAAGTGGATTCTTTACCTAAAATGTCAATATGTTTTATCGACTATACAGTACATCACTAAAGAGATGTTATTTTTTGTTTCTCCATGAAGGATGGAGAGTGTATGGCTTTTCACACACTATGAACATACTTGTCTTACCTTTTTTTTAATAAGGATATTCCTCCTAAGAAACATTTTTTCTGAATTTCTTTGTTGGGTTCTTATAATAATTTTTACTCTAAACAATGAAATAATTGTGCATGCAACTGTGTTCATGCACAGTTGGGGAATAATATACCGCCCCACATTGCTGTGGCCAGTGGAGACATCTGGCATCTCTCGTAGAAGTAAAAAGAGCACGGAGTTAACTATTATGAAGGAACAGGGCTTGGATTGTAGCAGGTTTTCATCCAAATAGTACCCTCACTACAATCCAAGAAAAGTTCATCCATGCCTTGTTTACTGTTTGGAGAGTTGCCAGATATCTCCACAAGCCAGTGCAAGATGGGGCAGAATATTATTCCCCAGCTGTACATCAAATATACACAAACAAACTAAAAACAAACCACATACACACACACACAGACAGACAGAAAGACCCACATATACACAAAACACTAATGCACAACGATGAACCGTGATCCTGGTAACTAGGTCTCATACATTGACCAGACTTACTGTTGAATGCAGTAAAGTCTATATAAAAGTGGATCTGTAAATACCAGTATTTGAAAGGAAGAGATTTTTTTATTTTTTTGGTATTGGGCACCAAATTCATAATGAGACCATCCAGCTTGATAGCAATGTCTGTCAAGGAAACTGTTGGTCTAACTTCAAAATCACATGAATTTTCTGGTACAGAACACTCCAAACTCATGAAAAGAGAAATATTCTCTTTTGCTATATAATAAAATATGAAACAGTACAGCATGGGAGCCTGGTGAATTATTAACACTATGTTATCACAGATTTCTGGATTGCTTATTGGGTGAACCTTATTCATCCAATGCTCAGAGCTAGTCATGTTGGCCAGAATGATCAAAATGGGAGATGCAATTGGTTCTCTTACCCAGCTTTTTTCACTCCATACAGAATGCTCTTAACTTTATAAAAAATACCTAAAATAAAATACAAAATAATAATAGTCATCAATTTCATTCCTTTTAAGTACTTGTAAAATATTTCTTGAAAAGTTAGACAGATCAATCATATAACAATCAAAAGAGGGAAAACTCAAAACACATTTATTTGAAATGGATACCTGTATCTCCTTTGCTTTGTGAATCTCATTTCTTTTCAAGTAATTGGTCATAAAAAAAAATCCATTATGTAAAACAATATTAGAGAGAAAGAGAGAGAGAGAGAGAGAGAGAGAGAGAGAGAGAGAGAGAGAGAGAGAGAGAGAGAGAGAGAGAGAGAGAGAGAGAGAGAGAGAGAGAGAGAGAGAGAGAGAGAGAGAGAGAGAGAGAGAGAGAGAGAGAGAGAGAGAGAGAGAGAGAGAGAGAGAGAGAGAGAGAGAGAGAGAGAGAGAGAGAGAGAGAGAGAGAGAGAGAGAGAGAGAGAGAGAGAGAGAGAGAGAGAGAGAGAGAGAGAGAGAGAGAGAGAGAGAGAGAGAGAGAGAGAGAGAGAGAGAGAGAGAGAGAGAGAGAGAGAGAGAGAGAGAGAGAGAGAGAGAGAGAGAGAGAGAGAGAGAGAGAGAGAGAGAGAGAGAGAGAGAGAGAGAGAGAGAGAGAGAGAGAGAGAGAGAGAGAGAGAGAGAGAGAGAGAGAGAGAGTAGAGAGAGAGAGAGAGAGAGAGAGAGAGAGAGAGAAGAGAGAGAGAGAGAGAGAGAGAGAGAGAGAGAGAGAGAGAGAGAGAGAGAGAGAGAGAGAGAGAGAGAGAGAGAGAGAGAGAGAGAGAGAGAGAGAGAGAGAGAGAGAGAGAGAGAGAGAGAGAGAAAGAGAGAGAGAGAGAGAGAGAGAGAGAGAGAGAGAGAGAGAGAGAGAGAGAGAGATTGAGATTCCAACGAATGACCTTCAGTCTCATTTTCTATAAATGATTCATAATTTTATAAGAGGTTGCAAGAGACTATGCCTGGAGGGCTGCCATCAAGTAATCATGGCTAAACCGCACACGAATGAGAAATGGCTGAAAAGTGATGTAAATGAGTGAATCTTATGCTATTTGTTTTTTTCTATATCCTCAATTGTCTCTAAACACTTTCTATGGAAATTTTCCATTAGCCAATCAGATTTAGCTCCGGTGGAATACCCATTATTTTCTCCTTTCTGTTAAGCAACTATATTTATATATATATATAATGAAATCATAATGAAACTCACAAGTTGCAGGTGTCTTCAGCAAATGTCTCATGTGTTGTATAATCTTTAACATTGGAAAAAAAGGCAAAGCTTATTTTTAAGTAAAAAAATAAAATAAAATGAACTTGTTATTAAGGCAAGTAACAGCTTATGATAAAAACGATGTTGATAAACACATCTACATACAGTACTATTTTTCTCATTCTGAGGTGAAATAGACTGTATCCCACCAATATTCATCTCTTTCTTTATTCATTAGCTAGGTGTATATGCCATAAATCAAAGCCTGACTACTGAATTCTATTTATGACACTAATCTAAAGAGTAATGTCCTCAAACCCAACCTCCAAAGTTGAAGTAAACTGTTCTCCCCAAGAATATTGCTGTGCAGTACTTTAATTGTTTTCAGGTAACATCTAATAATGCTTTAGGAATATTCCATAAATTTTGAAATTAGCTAAAAATGATGCATTAGTAATATCAATGTGCCTGACAGCTGCCTCCAAACTGTATTGACCAATAATGGAAGTATGCATTTCCACCAATCCAAGGCCCCACAACAACAATATTTAAAACAGTGGCCAAGAAGACTTTGCGAGTTAAAATATTTCGCTTTCCAATAGACTTGCACAACTACATGCATTTGAAAGGAATGCCAAGAGTTTTTCCCATCTTGTCAAGAGCTCAAAAAGATCTTGTCAGAACTCCAGAAGGTAACAGAAATAACAATATAGAAATGGGAAATACTGTAGCAAAATTTCAACAATTAAAAGAAGTCCGAGCAACTGTGGCATGCCAACAAAGACCCACAACTGGGAGAATGGAAGTTAGATGGAAAACATTCTTTAGGGAAACTATGGTCGCAATAAATAAATATAAAGGTCCTTCTGATGTGCTTTTTCACATTTTAAACAATATATATATATATATATATATATATGACAAAACTACTGGTATTTAATGTACAGTGAAACTTTGCTATGGTATTTTGTTTTATATGTTTGCCAACTATTTTCAAGAGTTCCAATTACATTATATTTCACTGGACAAATCGTGACAACACCGTAAATTGCTATGTATTTCTTGCAATGCTAAGATTGTGTTACTTTATTCCATGCACCACAAACCCCATCCACTACTACCTCCAAAATACAATACTTACAAGCTAAATTTATGAGGATGCAATGTAAATTATGTTATTTCATAATGAATATCACTGCTTAGAAGCAGTGTAAATATTTTCCAAGGTACTAAAGCAGGCCTCCATACACTATGAGAGTACCTACTGGTAATTTGACCACAGAGGAGTGAGGTCTTGTCTAGTGATTTTGACTATCCACCCACTTTGACCGCTCAATTAATGTAGTGTCGATGCTTTACTGTATATATTCCTCCAAACGATTGTCATGACCAATCACTTGAATACAGTGTTATTGAATATGAAAAAATTGATTCTTTTTCTTTTTACTGTTCACCAAATGGCAAGTAAGCTGATAAGTGTCAAAATTTATAAAAAAATAATAATAATGATAATACAGTAATATAGTATTAATAATAACAATAAAACCAGGAAATAATAAAAAGCAACATAAAACTGAACTTTCTAAAAAAAAAAAAAAAAAAAAAAAAAAAAAAAAAATAAATAAAAAGCCATATTTGTCTACACCATCTGTAAAGTTCTAAATAATACCCCTGTACTAAAATTTTGATTTTCAATTCAAATGTTTCTGAAATTAACTTTTTATTATCTTAGCATTTCTGTTCAGTCACATGAAGAATCTTCCCAAACAGATGTGGATGCAAGTGTTGATTTGGAAATAGATTATAATAGCATTTTTGAAGCATAGTATAATAGCTTCCCTTTACTTCTCAGAAAGATGGAAGGAAACCTTTATATACTGTATATCAGATAAGATCTAATACGATCAAAACAAACAAATGCTGTTCTGTACTGCTGTGGGAGAAAGTGGGATACTGTATTTGATTTAAAACTTCAGGGAATACTATCATAAATTTATGTGTAAAGACATTCATTTGCTCTAAGGTCTGGTAAAGATTCTGCATTTAAAACCCTGTTGCAAATAACAAGAAGCAATATTTTATATACTGTAAGTTTACCCCTGCCACTATAGTATAACTCAATGTAATGAAAGACAGTTTTATTGCTTCCAATACATGCTTTTTCTTTCAAACATATGAAACACTGATCAGCACGCATAAGAATCATAATACAGTACAGAGATCTTGACTGCTTTGTAAAGTATTTTGATTTTTCCACATTTGATAAGAGTAAAAATGAAATGAAAATGTGGTAAAAAAAATATACTGTATATAAATAAATACTGTATAACAATGAAGAAAATCCTTTAAATGAATTAACTTTGAATCAATAATCTTTTTAATAACGCTTCTATGGCATGGCATACAATTGTTTATCTTAAAAATCGCTTTTCAGTATTTTGAGTCCCAACATGGAATGTAGAGCCTGGTAAAATTTGTTACTGCAGAAATAACAGTCAGTGTTATTTCCTGTACACCATCTTCAGAAAAAAAAAAAAAAATCAACTGTCATCATAATACAATGCTGTGTAGGAGGGAAACTGTCTTATTACATACTGTACTGAAAAACTTTTCCCATGGCTGTTGTATTTTACAGATGGACTTTGTACCATGAAGTTAACACTCCTATAAATGAAAAATATATCTCTTACAAACAAGAAAAATAATAAAAATATAAATTTTCACAAGCCTTTTCCGTGCATTGTTCGTTTTTTAATGATATTCATAATCTTTAAGATAAGTATTCCCCCTGAGAAATGAATGATGACTTCTCATTAGTAAGCTGTATGCATATAATCAGGGGGAATGTTGTAAGTATATTTCTCTAGTACTGTAATTCCTTAAACTATTTGGCCAACATTAATTTACCTCATGAAACCATTATCACACATGCAGTACTTATAAAAACTTGATGCTAGAGAAAATTTGCTTCTCAACAAATCTTAACTATGAACTGCAAAGGTTAGCTGGCCCTTTTATTTGCAAACAAGTCATGACTGCACAATAAATTTAAACAAAATGAAGTGATTCTGTGATGGGAATTATTAATGACAATCTAACCTCGTGGCAGACTGGGAGTTAAATGGTAACCTATCTGCCATTATAAGGGTACAGTCCTATGGCAAGCATGAATATTACACCTCTCATTTACCAAGCAACTTAAAACACATGTTGATTATATTTATTATCACTGATCATATTCTCTATTACTGATGTACCAAATTTACCTTCATATCAGATAAATACAGTATAAGAAAAATATTGACTTTATAACTTTGAGTTTTTTAAAACAAAAAGAATGAATTACCTTTCATACTATTCACTGGTGATGTGCTAGAACAGAAGTACATAAATCAAAATTGCTCAGATCACAGTTCAAAAATAGATTGTATATTTTGCTTTCATGCTACAGACTCTTTCACTGCACATCTGCATACAGCAGGTTGTTACTGAAAAGTGAATTCCTTGTGTGATTAACTACAGTATTTCACTACTGAAGAACTCATTTTCCAAACACAACTCATGTGCAATCTTTTGAGGCCTCAAACTAAGCTAATGTTTGGCCAGGTGCTCAAGATGTTCATAACTGAGAATTAATATCTAATAGAAGTTTTATATTTTGCATGCCGATGGTCTATAAATGAGCCCTATTAATATATATACAATATAAATTAGTCAAAAGACAAGATAAGGTGCAATAGTCAAATGGTGTATTATGACTTACTAATACAGAGTAGCCTGACTCATACCGGTATCATCTGTGGGATAAGCTTAGAGGAACATTTTGAATGACTGTGGTACACGCACCACGAATGTTAACATGTAATATCTGTGTAACAAAAATTTTGCGAAATACTGAGAAGTACAACACAACTTTACATAATTCTATGTTGATGACAACATTACTAGTAGATCACTTTACTTCAGTCATCTATCATATTTTTTCCATATTAGTCTTTTTTTGTTAATTCATCCACTGCAAATTATGTTTTCACATAAGATCTTACAGTTGTATATCATATTGCATTTACCTTAACAACTACTGGAGAATAGTTCGCAATGTCAATGATAATTCCACACCTTTTTATTTTAGGTAATTTTTTCTAATGACTTCTAAAAATCCAATGCCAACACTTGACCAATATTTAGGATGATAATGTGTACATTTCAAACCTATTACTACTTTCCAATAACAGTATCTCTTATCATGATGCATGTTACTCTGTAGGTGTGTAACTTTACTTACGTACTTCTTTTTTTGAGGTCTCAACTTATCACAGAATCTGAGAGAACAATTGGGAGTATGTACTGGTCGGTGTCAGAACTGCTTGTAGTACGGACACAAGGATGAAGGTCTGATAAGGTCAATGGTCGCCAAGTTCTACCCAAGCCAGCAGAAACATCCTGAAATAAATTATGATAATGATCATCACAATACATGTACTTTTATAAGTATGTAATTAATATTGAAAATTTAAAGTACAGTATTACTCTCTATACCAAAATGATTGGTGAGCAACCAGTTTAGTATAAGGAGGTTTTTGGTATGAAACAAATCTGAAAAATTCATTAAATATTGAACTTTGTTTGGTATACAGAAATACCTTGGTTAGCGCTCAGGATGCGTTCCTGGAAAATGGAGCGATATCCGAAACAGCGCTCTACGGGGTCGTTATACCATTGCATATATGAAGATGCATTCCTGATGACGTTATTTTTTACCTATGAGATATATCCAGTACAGCATTGTATGTGAAGGGTACAGATTATTACAGTAACTTTACTAATTAGTGAGTAACAAATAAACAATATTATACCAAGAATGACAGTCATTTAAAGAATAGTAATGATTGTAGTAGAATGAGTGAGAGGCAGCAGATAGGTGAGACACAGTGGATGGGAGGGAGGAAGGGAGGGAGGCAGTTGATATCATACGGCTACGCTCTGGCTGAAGCTAATCCATATCTGAACCACTGAAATTATGATTTAGGTGGTGATAACAGCAGTAGTGGTGATGATGGTGGTGGTGAGGGAAATTGTGGTAAGTGAAGAGGAGGCTGGAGATACTCCCCCTCCTGACCCGTAGCAATGCTCCCCTTCCTGCTCTCACACATAAAGAAATGTACGAGTATATTCCTTTTATGTTTTTGACCTTATGATCGGTGTTACTTTTTTGTTTTTTTGCCCATTAGGTATGTAGGATTGTGTGCATGTAACTGAGTAAGCGAAGAAAGTTAATTTTATCTGCCCAAAATTACGAGTTGAAAAATATCCATAACATAACTCCCCCCAGCTCATCCTGCTAACTCTCACTGGCACACGAAGTGTGTTTTTGACCTTACATATAAATTTTGGGGTATATTTTATGCAGGATAGTGTGTGCATGTAACTGAATAAAAAACAATATGAAAAAAGTTATGTTTATTTACCTGAAATTATGAATTGAAAAATACAGTAACCATAACATAACTCCTATCTCAGCCTGGTAGGGATAGTGTTTAGGCAGTGGTTCTCAACCTTTTTCACTCCATTTCCCCCTTGAGGAATTTTCAACATCCTCGTGGCCTCCTTCTTTTTTCCCCCAGAACAGACAAACAGACAAATGATAAAGACTAAAGAATGATAAAGAAGGACAGATAAATAGGACAAGAGTTAGAATGGCAAACACACACACACACACATTCACATACATAACACGCCCATGCACTCACACATAAAGCACACATACAGTCATACACAAACATGCACACAGATAAACATTCACACTCAAGCTAGCAAGCTGAGGTGTACTTCCTGTAAGCAAGAACATGCCTCCTTTGACAAGCACTGCCCAACTTGGAAGAATGAGAAGAATAGTGAGTCATACCAATTTAGCACTACAAATGATAGGATTATAAAAGTAAAGAATGAGTATGAACAACAATGGCACCAATAAATAAGGAAATAATTAATAAAGGAAGTGTACAAATATTTCACCCACGTAAAGCAGCAACCACATGAATTATGAAACAAAATAAGTAACACCAATTACGGAGTATATTATGCTCGAGTCAAACTCAAACACAATACAGACAGACCCCGACTTACGACTGCTTCGACTTACGACCGCCCCAGATTTAAAAAAAAAAAAAAAAAAAATTTTTCTTCAAATGACACGCATTTTCTATACCGAAACGTTTCCAGTTAATGTCGTCTCCATGTATAATTAGAAAATTATGGGGGCCCCATGTGCATTCAGCTGACTACATTAAAGGTAAGTGCTCAGTCACACTGTAACCATTCCTTATTATTTATTACTTTTACTGTACTGTATCCATTCCTCATTATTCATTACTTTTACTGTACTGTATTTCATTGTAGATTATTTATTAAAAAAAAAAAAAAAAAAAAAAAAAAATTTTTTATCTATGTCGGACTTACGACCTGGATTTGGGTCCCTAACCCCGTCGTAAGTCGGGGTCTATCTGTATATGGTTCAGAGACAATACACTCCACTGTTTTCGTGATGGTATCCTAGGCCAGACTGAGATCATTTGGTCCTATCACCACTTGCAAAGGGATGACACACAGACACGTACTGAACAAGTCAGTTCAGCAGCTCGGTCCAGCGCCTGTCACACAGACAGGGACTGGACCTGTGAAATCTTAAATAATCCATAAAAAATAAAAAAAATAGCACCAGAGTACTGTAGGTAAATATTAAAATTGTATTGTCGTTATGATTAAACAAAATGACAAAAAAAATGAAAATTCTCTTCTGCCAAGTCAAAATAAGTAATACAGGTTTTGTTTAATTCAGATTCCCAACATTATTTGGAAACGTACAATTTATAACAGCTTGCCGTGGCTCCCTTGGGGGCCATGGCCCCCAGGTTGAGAACCACTGATTTAGGGGATGTGCCTCCCCAGCTGACTCCTGGGGACATGCGATTTAAATTTTTGCCAGTACCCAAGTTCATATAAGCGGGAAAAGCTTTCAAAACATGAAAAAGATGTGGTCATTAAAGGAATTCATATAAGCGAATTCAGGTATCTCGAACATTTGTATAGCAAGGGATACCTGTATTTGATATGGAGATACACTCCAAACAACATTATTTATTACCTTTGATTGATACATGATGGCTCTATTTGGTTACTTAGACAACTGATCAATGAATAAACCAGGAAATACCAGGTATGCAGATGCATAATAAACTACAATATTATTATTAAGTGCTGATAAATACACTACAATATTATTCACTAAGTGCTGAAGACAGATGTGGTAAGCATGAGAGATGGAGACACTGGCAACATGGTGAGGGAGATCACCTGTGAGCTCTTTGTAAACAAACACCAGGAATTTAATATGACGCAATGATGCATCTGGGGTCGAGTGTGGGATTCTGTTTTTGAGAAAGTTAATTATTTTACGATAAAATTTTATCAAACCAGCAACAAATGAACCAAAATAATATAGGAATTTAGGAAAATTGCATAACAATATGGTAGGGATCTTGGAGGAAGGAGGGGGAGGGAGCCACTCACCTGTGCTATTTCCCCCCTGTTGCCCCTACACTCTTATTTTGTCTAATTTTTATCTTTATAGTACAGTACAGTACAGTAGAGTACAGTACAGTAAACTTCCTCTAATACGGATTTTGACCGAATGTTAATTATTTCATCACTGGTCCCAATGAATTCAGATAAAAGGAATTGCACTTTACTTCTCTGTGTATGTTACCAGTGTCGGGTTGACCTTGACCATGGTGTACACTTGTGTGTGTTACCAGTACAGTGGGGTATGCTATAACGAACGGATCCTACTACGAATATTCCTATAACGAACGAAACTCCTACAACGAACATTATTTAAAAAAAAAATTTTTTTTTTTTTTTTTTTTACTAATTTATTGTTTTTTTATTACAAATATTAATGATATTCCTTATTTCAGGGGTTTAAATGCATATTTATGCACTTTTTTACAATTTTTACAATTTTATATTATATTTTTCAGTGTTAAGTGGTTGTATTTGGGGGCCTGGAACGGATTAATCCTATAACGAACGAATGCTATATCGAACAAGGTTCAAGAACCAATTAGATTCGTTATAGCATACTCCACTGTAGC